AGAGTTAATCGTTTCTATTGCTCATATATATATATATATATATATATATATAATAATGGTAGGTTTGTGTTTTGTTTGCAAATTTTCAATCTCACTTTATGTGTTTTGTTTGCTTGCGCAGTGTTGATAGAGAATAATGTTCTTTTTCATTAGAAATTTTCAATCTCACTTTATAGCTTTCTCATGTCTCATCTGTGCTAGTTTCACCTTAGAGAAGCGTGCAATACAAAAGGTCCAAAACACCCTCATTTTCTAAAAATCAATTTCCAAAAATAACCCTCCCATTCCAAAGTAAAATCAATTCGTTTGAAGGTTAAATTCGAAAAGTACAATTTTGGACATGCAATGGGATACTATTAAGAAAGACCTAGTCAAAAGATCATTTTTTCAGATTGACCAAAAAATTTTTTGCCAATCACCAAAATAGCATTTTGAAGAATAAATGGCATTTTTGCCCTTATTATGTTTTGTAATTACAAAAACATATCATTTGCTCAAAAGACAATAATACCCTCTTTAAAAAATTAATAAATCCAAACAATCCCACTTAAATTTCAAAACGAAATCACTTTCCTTATCAGATTCTCTAACACGGTTAAAAAGAAATTTCCTCTTCCATCTGCTTGAATATTAAAATCTCAAAAAATTATCAAATGCTCAACAAAAAAATATTACTCACAGTCGACACTTGAAATTGGTAAGTGTAAATACGTATTTTTAATTTCATTTTAGTTAAATTAGTACATTGTTTGAATATTTAAATCTTATTTCAGCGTATGATTTTAGAAAAATAAAATATTACAATCTTAAACGGATGTATACTTTTTTTTTTTAGCAAAAACGACGAAAAAAATTCATCTGTTCAGATGTTTGTGTGTCATATTTTTTTCGTCATTTTATTCTTGTAATTACAATTTTTTTAATAAATGATGTTTTCTAATGCAGCTATGGGATCAGCTGCTGTCTCGATTTGTTACTTTGGTGAATTTAAAAATAATGAAAATGATTTATGAGTGTGGAAATGGACGAGTGAAAGACAAGGTTGTACTACAATTGTAATAACATCGAGTACATCATACGCAGAAATGTACAATGAGATACAGAACTTGCTGAAAGTCGATCCCTCTGAGTACGACATGGAATTGAGATTTCTAATGGGCGAGCATACATCCATTTCAATTCCACCTATAATGGTTACTTCTGAAACAGAAATGAAGGTTTTAATTGAAATGAACCAGAAACATGCGATTCCTATTTGCGTAACTTTGATGAAGAAGAATGTCCTCGAGAGTGAACACGAAGATTTCGACGGAGGGGATCGTAATGTAAATGAGTTTTGGGACACCGTGAAAATAGTGCGTGATGATGTTGTAGCTGTTCCAGAGATAGTTTCTCCTCACCATGATCTCACTGTTAGACATAGAATTTGCTCGGTAGTTCAAGACAACGAAAGCAATAATGACTTTACAAATGAAAATTTGATTGCTTTATCCCGTCTGAGACATAAGTCGAGTGGGAGGTCACAGGCTAGACCGAGTGCACGGTCCTCTAATAGTTCGAGTGTAGTCCCCGATGATGAAGATTTGTATGTCGAGCAACTGTTTGACACAAAGAAAGATTTGCAGGAAGCTGTTCACCGGATTGCTTTGAAACACAATTTTGAGTTTAAAGTGAAGAAATCAAACAAGTCGACTTACACAATTGTCTGTGTTGACAACAATTGTTTTTGACGTTTGCGTGCAATGAAAATGGATACGAATGAGTTCTTTGTAGTTCGTGAGTATACACGAGAGCATACTTGTGAAGTGGTATTTGTCGAAATGATCATAGGCACGTCCGATCATGGTTCTTTGGTCGAGAAGTAATGCACAAGTTTCAGGACCCACGAACAATTTACAAACCTTTGGACATTATTAATGACGTTCGTCGAGAGTACGGGGTGGTCATAAGCTATCAGAAGGTTTAGAAGGTCAAAGAATGCGTGTTGAAGGACTTGATGGGTTTGACCGAGGAGAGTTATACTAAATTGATCAGATATTTCTTTATTTAGATGTTTATTTAATAGTTATTTCAAATGTTAATTATTCATTTCAATTGTTTAATTAATTATTTATTCAATTGTTTACTTAATGTCTAACTAATTCAATAATTAATTTCAATTGTTTATTTAATTATTTATTCAATTCTTTATTTAATGTGTGATTAATTATTTAATTCCATTGTTAATTTTTCAGTTTTTTAATATTGTTTATTTAAATTGGTCAGGTTTTGCTATAACATGGAAAGAATTAATACTGGATCAGCATTTTTTATTGAGAAGGATGACGAGAATCGCTTCAAGTATTTCTTTATGGCCCTTGGACAATGCGTTCGAGGATTTCGAAACGCAATGCGACCATTAATCCTAGTCGACGGTACAACCCTCAAGGTGAGATACGGGGGCAAGTTGATTATTGCAACATGTCAAGATGCTAACATCCAAATTACCCCTCTTGCATTAGGCATAGTTGGTTGAGAAAATGATCTGGCAATGCGTTGGTTTTTCACGAAATTGAGGGAAGTAATTGAGGATGTCGAGAACCTTGCACTTGTAACCGATCGAGGGCAGTCAATAATTAACGGTATCGCCGAAGTCTTCCCCGGGGCACATCACGGTTATTGTATGTACCATATACAAAGAAATCTGAAGACCAAGTATCGAGGCAAAGGCATCGTTACGTTGTTTAGGAGAGTTGCAGAGGCTTACAATTTTTAAGAGTTTGAAAAGTTTATGGTTGAAATAGAAAGTAAATCCTATGATGCATGGGAGTATCTGACAGAGATGGGGATCGAACATTGGGCACGATCACATTTTTCAGGACGTCGAATCAACATGATGACGTCAAACAATGCGGAGTCGCTCATGCCTTATTTAAGAGGATCGAGAGTTACCAATTCTCGCAATGCTTGAAAACATTCATGACAAGCTGCAACAGTGGTTTTATGATCGTCGTGAGGAATCACAGAGTTGCACAAGTGTGCTAATTCCGGCTCAGAAAGATAAACTCTTCAAGACTTTAGAGGTGGCAAGGAAGATATATGTAGAACCACATGATCAGTTTTGCTTCTCCGTGAGATGTGCACGTAATTTCAGATACATCGTCGTCTTGAATGATAACACGTGAACGTGTAGATAGTTTCAGTTGGAGAGTTTTCCGTGTACACATGCAGTGGCGGTGGCTATATATAGAGGAATTTCACTACACACTTTATGCAGTGCTTATTACACGACTGGTTCTTGAAGAGCAGCATATACCGAAACCATATTTCCTATACCGAATGAAGTCGAATGGGAAGTTTTCGATCACATTCTCTCATTTAATAACTTTTTGCCATCAGCAGTTAGCCTAGGTACTCCTGGACGTTCACGTACGTCTAGAATACCATTGATAGGAGAATTTCTCCGGCCTCGTAAGTGTGGCAGGTGCAATGCAACAGAACAAACTAGAAGATTTTGTACAAGTCAAATCCCTCTGCATGACAACGTAACAGATGTATAATTGAAGTTTATGTAACATTATTTATAACATTGATATTAATTATTTATACATATTCTTAATGTTAATTATTTATGTTAATTATTAGATTTAGTTTTTTTATTCCAATATTTCAAAAATTAGTTTCGTAATATTTGAAGATTTTTTTAAAAAAAAAAAACTCAAACATTATAAATATGTCATGACACATTTAAATAAACACATAAACTAAAAAATAAAAATTAAATATTAAAAAAATAATATATGTTTTACAATTATTTCGTAATTACTAATGAATGAATGAATGAAATATATAATGTTTAAACGTTACAATATGTACAATTATTTTAAAAAAACACGGCTCCAATATCTACGGATCACTATTAAATTCAAATAAATCACAAGCTAATTTATTTCTCCAATTTTGTATCCACGTCTGGTTGGTTGCATTAACCTTCTGTGCTACACTCAAAAATTCTATGTACTTGATGGCGAACATACCGCAATTACCCCTACAATTACAAAATATTGTATTAGCACATCACTGTCTAACTAGAACATAAGTTGTAAATTACAAAAATAGAATAATAAACACTTACGATATTTATTGTCTCGCTGTCGTCGTGTCCCCCACGATGGCCAGTCTGTCGTGCACAGTAATGTTCGCTAGTCTAGCCAGCATGGGGACGATCACAGATGCCGACTCCAGATTTTGCTCAAGCTAACCTTGTGTCAAGCATAAATAATAGGGGTCATACACATATATAGTCGAGTCGGCGAATACAATCTTCACTGCAATGTAGTGATGATTCACACACACTGGGATGTACAGATGCGTAGAACCCTCCCATGGCTTTCCCCTGACACTCGGCCACATCCCTACGACCCACTCCATCATGAATGTTGGCACCATGTACTCGCTACCCATAGCTTGGAACGTCTGGTACTCAATGTCAACAGTACGTATGAACTCAGTGTTCAATATGAGTCGGTCAGGAATGTTGAACGATCTTGGATGTCGTTCAGCTTGATATCATAGCAAATCCATGGCGAAGTCAATGTACTGCACTAGGAAACACCAATTAAAAAAGGAGTTATTTAATTTCATAAATTCAAAACTCAAAAATATGTATACGTAATAAATAACAATATTACTACTTCACTTACATTATCGGTGAGCCAAGCCACCAAAGTGGTGATGTCGTGAAACCACTTGTAAGCATCCGAGATCGTCTTATGAGCAATCCTACAGCTGGCTCTGAAAAATAAGAAAGGAAATTGTTAAGTAAAAATATAGATGTATAAACATATGCGTAATGTACTAATCCTTAACAAATAATACAATACTTACCCGGGCATAATTGCTCTCCACTCCGTCTTGAAAGCTTTCCACTTAGCATGGTCTACCTCCATGAATAAATTCAGGTGTTTGCCGTCAATGAACCTCCTCCTCTTCGCCTCCACGGTAAACGGAGAAACGACATACTATGATGGTGCCATCGGCCTCTTGCTGACCACCAGCTCCAGCATGTTAACAATACGCGACACCCTCCCAATCTCCGGCACTCCCTCACCTAACATCGCGACCACCTCTTTCATCCCCTCTAACTCAAAAACTACGTCCGACGAGTCTGACGTCCGAAATGGTACCCTCTCTGCCTCGGGTACTCCCTCCTCCTTCGGCACTCTCACGACTTCCACCTCGGGTACCCCCTCCTCCTCCAACACCCTCACGACCTTCGCCTCGAGTACCCCCTCCTCCTTCGACACCCTCACGGCCTCCTCCTCTAGCACCTCAGGTACCCCCCATCCTTTAACACCCTTACGATCTCCTTCTCCGGCACCCTCCTGACCTTCGCCTCTGGTACCCTCTCTTCCTTCGACACCCTCACGACCTCCTCCTTCGGTACCTTCCCGACCTCCTCCTCCGTCTCCATCGGGGCTCGATCCTCTATTTTCATCTCTATCGGGCCATCGAGATATGAAGCTAATGCATCATTTGATGCCCACAACGAGTCAACATACCCTGTCCGACCTCTTCGACCCTGATAACCACCGGCCCCTTCGTCACCCCCTCCGTCCCAATAGCTGCCTGTCCCTCCGCCACCCCCTCCATCCCGATACTCGTCAGTCCCACGCAGGCCTACTATGTCGCCCCGTATCGCTACGACCTCAGCATAAATGTCTCATAAATCGACCTGTACCATCTTGACATCACGTCGTAAGTCAGCTACGTTGCCTCTGATCTCCATCATTAGTCAGAACATATCATCAATGGAAGCATTCTGACTACGTTCAGCTGATCCACGTGGGAGGTGTCCAGACGTAGGAGATGGTGATCTCATGCAGGGAGGTGACATTCTCGACGGAGGTGATCGCATATAAGGAGGCGACATCCTCGGGGAATGTGACACCCTCGACGGAGGTGATAATCGATGACGCTCCTAAAAAAATAAACATTACAAATGAATAACTTAATTAAAAAATTATAACGATAATCAACATATTATATTCAATTAACATACCGTGTCCCGATCGACGATGGACGCAGGCCTCTCTCGAGCAGCACGATTTGTCAACAACTCACGGATAATTCTAATCCTCCTCCTCAATCGATGGTGTCAGCTCAGTGAGGACTTCAAGCTGACATATTGACATTTCATCGAATTTCTGACCACGTATCGAGATTTCGAAAATGACATACAATAGAAAGTGCAAATATATAATACGTACCTCAGGATCGTCGAGAATAGCTGATAATTGTTTTGCAAGGGGCTTGTCTTGTGCTCGCCAGCGGTGTATCCGAGGGATGCATGTATCCTCTCTCCTCGTATACTGACCAGTCAGGATGGGGATGGTTCATAGACCCATATCTACAACAATTACGATTATTATATGTACAATTTAATGAAAAAAATAGATAACTCATTATGTTAAACATTTACCTGTAAAGCTAATGGCATGTCATATACATCGTACTTATGCTCCGACCTATCTCTCCTAGGCATCGAATGCCCCCTCCTGAAGACGCGTAAAATATTGACAAAGCATCTCTGCCCCCACGGATAGTTGTTGAACATATCGATGTCATCAACAACTTGTAAATGAAAAACATCAATTGACGTCTTCCTGTGATGACACCTCAATACGCTCTCCAGTATAAACACCATCCCCAACTTCAACTTGTCAGACATCTGGTCGCATCCCCTGAATGCATCTCCTAACTACGCTTGTGTCACTGTCGTGTGCCCATTAAAATAATCATTCAGCAGCCTATTGTCTGTTGAAATACTGGCCCTCGCTGCCTCTTCGCCCGTATATCTCAATCCAATGTTGAGGGCAAACTCGAGTATAGAAAATGTAGCAACCTTACCCCCAAAATCAAAGTGGAGGGCATCTTCGTCAACTGGCTTAAGCAGCCGACACAGTAATGAATCGATCAACTGTACAGATCGCAATGAATACAGGGGCCATAGACAGGATCGTAATATCTCTGCGTGCTCCTCGTCCAATGAATCCAACACTGCCGTGAAGAGAACAAAGTTACAGTTCGATGTAACTTTGTCAGGAACCCGTCTCAAGGCTGCGTCCAAATAGTAATCTATCCTGTAAAATTTTAAATGTTAGAACATTTGAAACATAATGTCACAAAATTTAACTAACCAAATTGTAAGTAATATACGCACGAAATAACAAATAATAAAGAAAATGAATTAAAAATTACACAATAACTTATAAAAAGGAAAAACTAATTTTTGTAAAATTATTTATTTCATTGTTTATTTTAATCCATGTTAGAAATTTATTTCAATTCTTTATTTAATTAAATTTGATTATTTATATTTAATTACATATTTAAATAAATTATTTTGAAAATTTATATTTCTTACTTATTTAAATTGTTTATTTTTATTTAAATGTTCCTTATTTATTTCAATTTAAACGTAAATATTTAATTATTTATTTCAAATGTTAGAAATTTCTTTCAATTAAACTTTAATTAATATTTTGATTATTAACATTTATTCATTTATCATTTAAATAATCATTTAATTATTATTTAAATGTTTATTAGTTATTTTTGTGCATTTTAATTAATTAATTATTGCAATTGTTTTTCATTTTTTGTTTCAATTGTTCATTTAAATTATTTGATTTAATTACTTATATCGATCGATTATTTAAATTATTTATTGAACAAGTAAACGTAAATATTTAATTATTTATTTCAAATGTTAGAAATTTCTTTCAATTAAACTTTAATTAATATTTTGATTACTAACATTTATTCATTTATCATTTAAATAATCATTTAATTATTATTTAAATATTCATTATTTATTTTTTTGCGTTTCAATTAATTATTTATTCCAATTGTTTTTCATTTATTTGTTTTTGTTCATTTAAATTATTTGATTTAATTACTTATATTGATTGATTATTTAAATTATTTATTGAACAAGCAAACTACATATTTAATAATTTAATTCAAATGTTAGAAATTTGTGTCAATTAAATTTTAATTGCATATTTTGATTATTAACATTTATTCATTATTTACATTTTTCATTTAAATAATAATTAAATAATTATTTAAACAATAATTTATTACATTTCAATTATTTTAATTCACATGGAAAAAAATAAAAAAACAATAAAAGCCCAGGCGACAGACGGCCTGCCCAGCCGTCTGTTAAGATAGACAGACGACCGTCTGCTCCCAGAGATCGCCATTTTCGACGATCTCCGGCCACTGAAATCTCAAAAAAGGCAATTTCTAGTAATTTTACATAATCTACAAAGATTTTTACCACTATTTCCAACAAAATAAACCTTCAACATCCAAGTTCAAAGATTAATGGAGGAAAAATAAGCAAAACTTACTTTCTTTGCCTTTAATGGTGGTCGGTCGATCTCCTTCCAAGAAAAAGTCGTCGATTTCCTTTCTATTTCTTCCACTTCTTTTTCTAGACGTCTGTTTGAGAGTGATTTGTTAGGGGCAATATTGAGTTTTCATTGTTTTTACAAAATTTTCAATTTTTTTAAACAGTAGTCAACGGCCATTTTGAAAAATTGTCTATTTTTGGTGGCTATCTGCCACCATTTCCTACAACTGCCTTTCCAAAAGTCAATCACGAATTGTGATTTTCTCTTAATAATCTCACATCTTCAGTCATTTGGCCCCCTGTCTCCATAAACATCTTAATGAAAGTTCATCTGGCCCCATGTCAGCACAAATAGGGTACGTTTGTGTTCCTTTAATTTTAAAAAGTGTATTATGAAATAGTGATTAATGTTGAAATGTGTGGTTAAAAAAGAATGAGAAATTTTTTATTTATGTGTAATATTATATTCAGGACAAGACTCGTGTTTTGCGAAGCCTGAGGCGAAATTCATATTTTGGCCCCTAAATAATAAGAAGCAATTAATTTTTTTCAAGTACAAGAGATTTAAGGCACTACATTTGTTAACATAAAATCGAAAAATAAAACAAAAAAATGAAATATTTAAAATATGTATACTATAATCAAATAATAATGTGAAAATGTTCTAAAAGATCACTTAAATACAACTCGTCTTGCAGTTTCGAGGCAAAAATATCAGTCAATTTTGTATAGTCGAGTTGTTCAACCATTTCTTTTTCAATTGATAACATGGCTAAACCATTCAATCTTTGTTGTGACATAGTTGATTGGATATAAGTTTTGATCAATTTCAACTTGGAAAAACTTCTTTCTGTTGATGCAACTGTAACCTGGATGGTGAGCAAAATCTTGTAAGCAATGCAAGTATTCGAAAAACAGCCATTCATTTTCTTCAAATAATGTAGCACATCAATTGCTCTTTTTGTTTCGCTAGTTAAATAGCACCTCAAGATGATCAATTCTGAACACATATCATCACCTATAATGTCTTAATGTCCATTATGTTTTAAATACTGCTCAAGATTCATACAAGGTTTCAATAAACTGTCAACTTGCATGCTCTTTAATCTATCCAAGTTAAACAAAAATCCAAATATCTCTTCATAATGTGTAAATTATTCAAAACGAGTTTGAAGTGATGATAGAGCTTGATCAATTATAAAGAGAAAATACTCAACTCTAAAAGATTCTTCAGCCGAGTATGTTACCTCTTCAGTGCCACTTTCATCGAATTGCTTCTTTCTTCGAATGCTACGTCTTTCTTGAAATATAGCGTAAATTCCATTTCACTTGCCATTTGTTTAGCTTCATCCATGGCACTGGCAAACCTAGATTTTCTATAATCTTCGAGAAATGAAATAAGTGCTTGTAAAAGTTTGATGGCTTCATTAATATCCATGCTTTCGGCTTGAAAAAATTTACTCACAGTATTGATTGCATGCAACAACTTATACCAAATTACAATGCCTAGCAAAAATTTAAAATTTTCAAGTTCATCTATTGCTAAGGACTCAGCTTCACTTTTTGTTTTTGGATCTTCAACAATGTTTGCCAAGTCAAGTAAAGCGTTTTTTATTTGTACATATTGTTCTTTTATAGATTGTTCTTTTATGGGTTTCACACTTTCTACATGAATTTCCCAACGTGTTTGCGACAATAGCTTAAGTGTCAGACTTTGAACCTTATCTTTAAAAAATTTCCATAGTTTGGAAGAAGAAGAGAACAATGTGTAGATTCGCTGTATCACTCCAAAGAAGGACGTAGCTTTCGAATAACAATTTGCCATATAACATAATGCTAGATTAAGGCTATGACAACCACATGTAGTATAGAAAGCTCTAGGATTTATTTCAAGTAACCTTTTTTGTACACCTATATGTCTCCCCGCTTATGTTAGCTCCATTGTCATACCCTTGACCTCTTATATTATCAATATCAAGCTCAAGATTCTTTAACACATTTTTAAGCTCAGCGAAAAGTCCAAACACTGATGCATCATCCACCTTCAAAAATTCAATCCAAAATTCCTGTACGATTGATGAGTCTACCGAATCATCCACGCAGCATATTACTAGAGACATTTGTTCTTTATTACTTGCATCTAAAGTACAATCAAGTATGACGGAAAAATATTTTGTATGTTTCACTTTTGTGACAATTGCACTTATCACCTCGCCCGCTAACATTTGTATCAATCCATTTTGAATCTTAGAACCCAGATATGTATACTAAACCTCATGTGCTTGAGCACATCGAATGTGTTCTTCTATTATTGGATCGAACTTAGCAACTGTTTCTATCATTCGCAAAAAAAGTCCGTTATTCTCAACATGAAGTTGTTCACAATCTCCTCAAAATGCCAGAGTATTTTTAGTGAGTCTTTTCACAATAACAATTATTCTCGTTAACACTTGTTTCCAATGCTCTCTTTATTTGTTGATGGAATTGTATGCTTTCATCAATTGTATGTTCTGTTTGAAGCCTATTTTCTAGTTCCATCCAACTAATCATGCAACCTATATGCTCCTTAGACACTTCGTGATTAGTAAGACGCCGATGCATATTATGCCAATCATTGTATCCGTCATTACCCAATTGGTCAATATTTTAAACCATTTTTCTGTCTTAAATAACTTGCAGCAAGAACAGAAGATTTTATCCAAAGAAATTGAATACTCTAGCCATCTTCTATCAGTTGTCTGCCCATTTGCCATTAACAGCTTATATTGTGATGATTCAAAATGTTTACCTTGACTATCTCTGCGAAATAAGATCTCATCAACTCTTTTTAGACACATTTCAACTAAAAAGTCCCTTATTTTTTTTTATCAATGTAAATGTCCTTCCAATTTTCAGGATCATTCAAATTCATAGAAAAGCAATTCTCTTGATTTAAATCTTCATGTTGAACATTATTTTCATCATTTTATTTTGACTCATCCGTATTTGCAGGTTCAATCATTTCCTTGTCCTCTTTCCGTTCATCCACATGATCATTATCATTATCATTCCGAATATCTTGTTCTTCAATCATTAAATTTTCTTGTGTTCCTTCATTCTCTTTTCATTTCTTTCCATTAAAGTATTTATCCATATCTCTAGCTTGACTTCAAATTAATGCCTCGACTCTTTCCTTCTTCTTCCTTTTTTGAGCTCTTGACACATATTTAGGAGTCATGGTATTTGACTCAAGTCACTTAACAGAAAACACTTACTGAAATTTGAGTGTAAAAGAGGCCCAAGTTAGATTAATTTAAGGTTAAAAATTAAATATTGATGACCCAATCACAATTAACAACTTATAATAAAAGTACTCAACTTAACATCAACCATAATACACACTTTATCAATTCTAGAGGTTTAGTTGCTCAATTGATAATGAGAGAACTAGACCAGAGCATAAAAAATAAATACTAGAGAGATAAATCCATTAAGTCGAGCTAATGAATCTATATTTCCATCACCTAGCCTTACCTATTTCATCGAATCATCATCAACTAATATCTTCAAAAACCCCCTAAACACAAAAATTAGAATGCTAGAGTCTAGATTACAATTACTCACAATCACAGGCATCTTACTTCACAAAATCACAGTTCACTTGCCTTTAAATTACATTAACATGGCAAGATTAATCATTAATCATTCATCATTAATGGATGAATTTAAGAATTTCATTCACCAACTGAAATCAATTATTCAGTTTAACATGTCTTCAATTTTAAGAATTAAGATGCAACTAATAGACAAAGAAATCGATTTAAATCTCACACCCAAAACATCAAAAGAAAACAAATTGATACTTGATAGACACTAGATAATAATTAACAAAATCATTGATGTAGAATGCTACTATGCCAGCAATAGCATCAGGATCATGAAGACAAAGTCGGCCGATCGGATTTTGGATATCAATCATTACCAGAAAACAAATTGATAGTTAATACAGTCACACAGAAGCAGAATGCCAGCATCAGAATCAGATTCATGCCGTGGTTACCGTCGATCGGTTGGAATTTGGGAAAGATAAATGACTATGACATACCAAATAGTACTAAGTACCAACGTCGAATGAGTTTGATAATAGAAGACTTAAACCGCCACAGGATGCTGTGAGTCTGTCACTTTGTCGTTGCCCGTCGCCGATAGGTTTTAGGAATGGTTGCACCGTTGAGACTTGAATTGCAGTCTTGCAAATGCAACCGTGGCAAAACTGGCGATTGGCGTGGAGGAGCACTGGAGCAGCTAATTGCAGAAGACAAAAATTGTTGAAATTGGCCTGGGTTTTCCAAAAAAAAATAAAAAAAGGGTTACGAGTTTTTTTGGGCCCCTTATATGTTGGGCCTGAGTCAGAGGCCTCTTGAGCCTCAGGTCCGACTCTGATTATTTTAATGAAAAATGTGTGGTTAAAAATAAGTACTGTAGAAAAACTAATGTGATAGAATAATTGACAAATAAAGGCTTAATGTGTTTGCACTTGCATTATTTATAGTTTGTATGACTTGGATTGGATTTTACTTTTCTTGGTATAGTCACTTTCATTAATTATTTGTTTCAAAAATCACCCAACTTATACTATGATCATAGTTTACTTAATAAACTTCAAAGTAATTCACAATCCGTTTGTATTCCATCCATCACACTAAAAATTTGTTGCCTTATTCATTGACACGCCACACAAAAATCTTACGCCCTCATTTGGGCATCATTATTGTGGAAAAAATGCATTATTCTATCACATCACATGACCTACCATGTGAAAGTTAGTTCAAATGGTGTTATACACATATATGTTCAACTTCCAATTTTAATCCTATCTTGAAATGTAAGCACGAACTATTCCAAACAAAAACCTTGCATTTTTTGACTTTTCCATGTTCACTTTGATAGATTGCTGTCAATTGAGTGTCAGAAATTAGGAATAAAGAAAATTTTTTGTACAGTGCAATAGCTAAAAATTGTATAGAAATGAGATGAAAATGAGCTACAAATAGATGCTATGTGTCAAGTTATGGTCGTTAGCAAAATTACAACTTAGCTAAACTATTATATCATTATTCATCCATCTTACACTTGGTCACAGTTGTATTCATCAAACTTTAAAATACTTTTCAACAGTCACTCATCTTTGAGAATTTGTACTCCATCTATCATCCATCAAGATTCATTCCCTTCGTTGCTAATGTATCATACAAAAATCTCACATGACAAGATACAATCAATAAAAAATTACAATACAACCAAACCATTAACTCACCAAAATCACCTTATGTAACAAGCAACTTCCACGCCTTTGAACTTCTTTAAAACCTAATAAAGCTTCCCCAATTTCAGTTCTAAGAAATCGTAGCCTCCAATTCACTCATTTTACCCATATGCGGCTAAATTTTGTAATAAGACAAAGCCAATTGTTTAGAAGGTTGTAATGAAACTAATTAAAAAAACCTTCTAGGTGGTGTATTGCTAAAACACTTTCTGGGTTGTGTTCGTGTTTGATGTTTGTCGTTCATCAATCTGATTAGAGTTCGATGATACTTTCTTCCTCAAATGGTTGGATACACACCTGCAAAAATGGAAAATTGATTTAGAGGGATGTGAACAGATGGCATAATTGGGGGGATAAGTCTTTATAAAATGGTAGCTTTTAGCATCCTTCTCAATAATCTGTTTTGTGTTATTACACAATTTAGTCGTATGTGGGCGAGATCAGCAAATTGTGGGCTATGATTTTTTTTAAAGCTAAAATTGTGGATGCTTTATTGGATTTTAAAGAAGTTTATGTAGTTGTGGAAATCGTGTTTCACATATGGTGATTTTGGTGAATTGATGATTTGGTTGAACAATCATAAGTTATCATGTGAGATTTTCGTGCAATACATTAGCAATAAAGGAAACGAAATATGGTAGTGATGGATGGCAACATCTCAAAGATAAGTAACCAACTGGGAGCATTTTGAAGTTTGATGAGAAAACTGTGACCAAAGTGTAAATTGATTGAGTAATGAAATAATGATTTAACTGAGTTGTAATTTGTTACGTGAGATTTTCTATAACCACGTCAGCAAATAAGTTGACGAATTTTTTAGGGTGATAGATGGAGTCCAAACAGAAAAAGTTCAGTTAGCACTGTAAGCCCCCATTTGAGCCTCATTAAATTTATAATACATTTTCTCTCTCTTAATTTAACTACATATTCTCTAATAAAATAATGTTACATATAAACAAAAACTGTTTTTTCTTTTTTAACCACACATTCTCTAAAAATTACTATTTCAAAAATTATAATATCAAATAATAGGGGTCAAACGAGGGCTAAATCACTTTGAAGTTTAGTGTGTGTGTGTGTATCTTAAAAGAGGCAATGTTGCCTACACTGTTCATTTGTGAAGTATTTATGTGTTTCCCATTTTACCCTTAAACCCTAGCTTTAACTACCCTTTTATTTTTTCTACCTTCACCTTAAAAGAGAATGAGTCGATTAATGTTCATTTAGGTGGTCGAGTTTTCACACCACTGTAGCCGGATTGGTTGTACACACTGTAGCGAATCTTGTTTTGTACTGTTTACATTTAAAAGCCTTTTACTAATTTCAACTGTTCATTTTCAAATATCTTCTACTCTACGCAACTTTTTTCACTATCTACCTAGACCTTTTCCCTTTCTTTTGTAGTTGTGTTTCTAGGTCTGTTGAAACTTGAAATCTTAACCCATTTTTTAAGTGAATTTGCAATTTTCTCTAATATCTATCGCTTCATCAGTTCCTGTGCTCAGCCCAGCTTCATCAGGCTCTGTTGTGGCTGATTTTACAAGGTCGGCAAAAATTAGAGGCTGGAAACGACGTGGGTTTCTTTTTTGTTTTTTTAATTTCGCCTGTTTGTTGATCTATCTTCATTTCTAAGACTATTATATGAAGGCTTGCATATGCCTTTCGTTTTTCTTGCTATTTGTGGTGGAAGTTAGCTATCTTCCTATGTATTTTATTGATCTTAACATTCTTGGAGGCTTCGAATTTGAGCCTCATGCTTTTAAAGTTGATATATTACCTTATATTATCTGATAATAGAAATTGATTTTATTTTTTTTAACCCAAACCTTATAAGCCTAATTCAATCATTTACTTCCCTTATCTTTACTTTATTAATTTTAGAGGAAGAAGAAAGGACTCATCGAGAACAAAGGAAAAATGTGAACAGGAAGTATTTGACCATCTTTATATTTGGATACCACTTCAAACAATAAAAATCATAAAAACAGAGAAGTGGGAAAAGGCAACAGGAAACTCAAGCTTGGAGAAATTGTTTTGGCTATAATATATGGTAAGCCATGGTGCCTTTATTTGAAGAATTAGTTTAGATATGTATATTTTTATCTGTTAAGATTAACAGTTTCATTCCTAATCTCATATTCAGGATTTTCATAAATACGAAGGGGATTATAAATGATATAAATTTACTTAGAATTGATATGATGATTACTTGTTCTGACTTCTATTTCCGTTTTTCAACTATGGCATAACATTAGCCAAAATTTAGTTTCATATGTTTATAGATCTAGAATCAAATTGTTTTGATTCAATTGTGTTGGAAAGAGAAGAAACCCAACAAAACCATGTGGATTAAAATTGTTGGAAGAGAAAAGGCAAATAGATAAATGGATTTCATTTGATAATCATGTGTGAAGTATACTTTTATTAGGAGAGAAGACAACAAATATTAAATTAAGTTGAACAGAGCATAAATGAAAAGAAAAGAATTGCAATATTTTATTGTCTAATTGCGACTAAAAATATGAATGATGTTCCCTTCCGTCAGTTAACCTTTCAGCAAATTGGGAAATCACAAAAATAGGTTTCCAGAATCATATCTACAAGAGCATGTATGTATGTATATTCAAATGGAGAAAGCAACATTAGTATTACAAGGTATATATATATATTGCTTTCAGTCAGCCATAAGAAAAGGAAAGTGCGAAAAGGAAATTAGTTACTTTGTTGCTTACAGGCAGTTTGAAATCCCAATGGAAATGAGTAACAATTCAATTCTTACAAAGAAATCTATTAATTTACAGGTTATTGATCTTGAAAGTAATGTATTCATAAGGGATTTCCTCGGGGTAAGTTAAACAATTTTAATTATCTATACTTTCGTGGAAATAGCTGCTCAAGTTCCATTCCTTTCATTTTTGGCAATTTCACATTGGTTTAGAGTCTTAATTTTAGAGCCAATCACTTAATTGGAGCGTTTCTTGATAAATTGATGCTTGTGAGAGATTTTACTTAATTGAATCTCAATGGAAACAAGTCTTTGGGTCTATTGTAGTGAACATTGGATATTTCAATCAACTTGCAGTTTTGAATTTTAGTAATAGTGGTCTGTCGGGTACTATTACAGAAAACTTTTAGGCTTTATTTAAGTTTACAGTTCATTTCGCCAAAAAGAATTTCTCGATAAAGTTGCCAAAACATGTTTGATCAATTTTTTTTGCTGCTTATGTGTATGGGGCTCGATTATATTATAGTGGCGAGATCATTTTCGAGTAAAGGTATTTAAATACATATTTTTCTCCAGTTGATTGTTCATGGTTTTCTGTACAAGTCTTCGATTTCGTTCATCCATTCTTCTTTTTCTCTTCATCTATTTGACTTTTTTTTTAATATTTTATTCATTTCATTCTTCCGTTCATCCTCTCAGGTTCATTAGTAGCTTCAATCATCATGACAGGATAAATGAGCCTGTACTCTCCTCTGCAAAAGGTACAAGACTGCTGGTGGTGAGCTCTAAAAACCAATCTTTCACTTTTTCAATCTCAAGCTCAATTTTGTACTCTCCTAGCGACATTATTTCAATTGCATAGTGATAACAAATTCGACTTTGTAAGTTTACTTTTTTCTAAATTTTTGCATGATTTCTTTGTATTTCTTTTTTACGTGCAAGTAAACGATTAGCAAATTGAGGCGTTTAATACTGAATATGGGGTTAACATAGGCATTTATTACGTCAATTTTTTGCTTTAATCGTTGTCTTCTGTATTGTTTATAGTGGAATGTTCCATTTGGGATTAAAGGGTATTGCTTTACTAATCTCGATGTAGCTGATCTTCTGATCAATGGGATAGTTGATTTGCCTTTGGCGCAAATTGATAAAAGTATAGCTGAATGAGAACTTTTTCAATGGTTTGTACATGAGGTGATTAAATGGCCTGTTATTTTGTACCATGATTAATCAGCACTGTTGTTGGTTCTATGAATGATTTTTTTACCCAGTGCGGTTCTTGTGATGCTTTACTAATCTCGATGTAGCTGATCTTCTGATCAATGGGATAGTTGATTTGCCTTTGGCGCAAATTGATAAAAGTATAGCTAAATGAGAACTTTTTCAATGGTTTGTACATGAGGTGATTAAATGGCCTGTTATTTTGTACCATGATTAATCAGCACTGTTGTTGGTTCTATGAATGATTTTTTTACCCAGTGCGGTTCTTGTGTCTTCAAATTGTTTTACTTTTACCGTAACTGAAGATTCTATATGTTTCTAGTTTGCATGTATTGTATTTATATTAATCTCTTTAATTTTTCAAGGTTACAGCAAATGGTGATGCTATTTTAAGTTGTGGTTTTCCTTACTGTGATTATCATTATACTGATCATGTTATATTCTAATCAAGTCAGAACAACTATATGGTTTAGAATGAATTGGATACTGATGATTTTGCCAGGGAGACCAAGTCGAGAAATTCCGACCTCTATGTGAAGTTTAAATTGACAAAGCAACCATAGAAATAACGAGTCCTTACAAAGGAAAAGTTTTCCATTTTTTTCATATTCCAGGCAACATCGTAAAGGTAACAATAAAACTGATAGAACTAGAATTTATTTTAAAATCAAATGCTTGGGCCACTTTCACATAATGGAGTTCTAATATCATCTACCTGTGGTTCCGGAGTTACGTCAAGGATAGGTGACAGACTTATGTGTATAACTCTGTCCATAGTAAAGGACTTGCTCTTTTAATAGTCTAATATTGAATTATCAATCATTTTCTTTCATTTATGTGTAGATAAAACTTTCCTCTCTTGCAAGCAAGATATTCAATTTATGTGATACCGTGAAAAAAACATGGTGAACTTCGAATACTAGAAGGAATTAAGACTTTATCCAAGATTGTTTAACCTTAAGTAAGGCTTGGTCACACTTTTTGAGTTTCTTCCTTGTGTTATGTTGTGACTTTATGTTAAAGGCATATTAATTTGTCTGTTCACAATCGAATTTATTAAAACAAAATATACTATACATTCATGTTTCTATTCTAGATGGCAATCATGAAACAAATGTTCACTTTTAAAAGCTTTCCTTTATGTACTACTGAATCCTAGATCAACTTTCAATTATATGCATAAACATTGCAGAATTTGTAGTTGGAAAGACCAATTAAGGCATCATAAAGTAAAGATTGATGACAATGTTTGCATTGTGATGGTGACAGGCTGGTTCTTGAGGTAATCTTCTCATAAAATTTTAGTAATTGTGGTACATATGTGAATCACAATATTCATGTAAATATATTTTCCTTTTCCAATCACAAGGTTAGTTCTAAAATGCAGCTAAAGATATTCACTGCATAGCTTTTTTCATGTCACTTTTATTGGAGATGAGAATAGTAGCACTTATGTTGAAAATAAGGTTGCATTTTCATTTTCATTTTCATGTTGTTTACTTATTTGAGTTGATAAAGCAACTCCATTATGGAAATTAGGGCATGCTCAAAGCCAAGGTATTTATTCACATAATAACTACAGTAAGCCTCTGATGACCTCATTACTTTTCATTGTCTTGAATAGTATGTCTAAATAAGCATAAAAAAAATTTACAAGAGAAGCAATATCTTAGAAATATAGTGTTCCTTTATTAGCCCTTTCATTTTTATGCCATTTCTCTTTTCATTCAAGAGCGCAACTTCTTTGCAAAAGAACATACCCCTTGAAGAAGTTTTTCAATGTCATCCATGCACATGAGATCGCTTCAGCACGGATGAAGTTAAAAAAAGATTGGAGTTATTTATGCACAATAAACTAGAAGATAAAAAACATAAGAGTTGCAACCCCTACCCCAACCCACATGCCTGGCTTCTGGTCATCTTATTTATTTATTTATTTATTTTTTATTTCTTGATCTTTTGTATCTATACTGTAATGTCTATAGGAAAGCAATTTTTTGAAAATTTTAAGTTTTATGTGAAATCCTCTATCACAGGTGCTGAAAAGCAGCTGCTTTAATGGCCATTGTTCTTGCAAACGGAGGAGTAGGGATCATTTCAACTTTTATCTCTCCTACATCACCATTAGTGAAATATCGAAGCAAGGGTCTCAAGTTAGATTTTTTAACTTTTTAGAATTATAAGCTTGATTGTTACAGTTAAAGAATCAAATACTGTAATAAAATCATTTCCTAAACCTATTTTCTACTGCACACCGTCAAACTTTCTTGACTTTGTTGGCCATATTATCTCCCTCCTTATCAACTTTAGAATAAGTTTTACTGAGGAAAATAGTGCTAAAAATGCAGCGCTTCCCTCATGGCTCGATTGGCTCCAAAAGCCTAGATTTGCTCTTCTAAAATAGCTTCCAGCTACAAATTTGCACCATTTATTTACCTTAATATCATATTTTCTATCAATCTTGGACCTTAAATAAAAGTGATTTAATCAATTCCTAACTCCAGGTTTTACAAGTTGGGACATGGAGTGAGGAAGAAGCCGTAATGTTGGTTCATGGGAACATAGTTTAAAACTTAAAGATATTCCTCCAGCTCATGCAAGCCTTATAGAAGGAAATCCTTTTAATATTGATACTAGGGATGTAAGCGATCCGATTTTACTGATTTTTGACAAATTTTCAAATCAAACTGTTTAAAATAGTTTGAGAAAAATTCAAATTTAAACCAAATTATTTTGAACAGTTTGAAAAAAAATTCAAACATAAACCCAACGGTTTGGTCCGGTTTTAAACCGCTGGTTTCGTCGTATATTTTTTTGTATGTCTACTTTTATGACATTAATTCATTGAATTCAATATATATTTATATCTTACTAGTAATAAATCTAAAACAATCTAAGCTCTTGTTTGAACTAAATTTTTGGGACAAGAAAATGAAAATTTGAACCATTATCTCACAAGTCCAACCACATTTGTTGACCTGCTGTTTCATGCGTGGGACCCTGCTTCCTCTCCAACGGTCAATTTTCTTATTATGATAACATGGAAAATATGGCTCGAACAGGGGTTAAATATATTTACTATAAATTTAAATATCTACTAAATCAAAGTGAAATCACAATAAACTAAAACATAATTTTTTTCATTTATGGTCACCTTTTTTTGGCTAATGACGTTATGATAACGTTAATATACAAATCTACTAAACGAGATATAATACCCAAACAACATAATGATATCTAACAAGATCTCGTGATCATTATATCTAAAAAAAAAGTTTATTGATTAGACAAAGAGAATAACCAATCACAATAATAAAACAGTTGTTTATAATATCTAAACATAATAATTACACAAGCTTGCATTTATATGTTGTTATGAAACACATTTAATTTCAGTTTCTTACCTCAGTTTGCTCAAAAAAATTATTGATTTGAAACTTTATTCGTGCCAAATATTATCACCGAAGACCTAGGATCTCTTTGTCTCGAATTTGGTGTAATGGATTACAATTCAACTTTGAAGAGGCGTAAAAATCTGAAAAAGAAATGTGTGTGGTGCCGATGGCTCAAGACTGTGTCGAGTGTCGGTTGGAGTTCATCTGAATTCTGAAGAAAAAAAGGTTTTTTGATAGATTATGTTAGTTTTGAGATTATTAGATATAAATTAGGATTATTAGGTAATAATAATATATATGTATTAGAAAATTAGAAATTGACAAAAATACCCACAAATGACAAAATTATTGAATTTTACATATTTGGAGAATTTTCAAAAAAAAAAAAAATTTTTTTATTTTTATATATTTTTTGCGGGTTCGATTTGATTTTAAACTGCAATTAAAATTTTCAAACCTAAACCAAACCATTTTGATCGGTTTGATTTGGTTTGGTTCAAGACCATTTCGTTGATCGGGCCCACGTAGCACCAAATCGACGATTTTTGAAATGCGATTTCGGTTCGATTTTTACTTACAGCCCTAATTGATACCTCTTCCAATAATTATTGTTAATTAAAAACTATGTACTTAAAAACAAGGTTATTCATCTAGCTTCAACTAGGCTTTGTATATGGCCTATTACTTCTTTGACCAAAGCTGCTATAAATAAAATACTACCTTTGCTTTTCTAAAACTCATTTAACGAACATATCTCTCCAATCCTTAGTATTCAATACACTAACATTAGCTTCAAGAAAAGGCAATATGTGCATTGCACGTGCACATCACTAGTATTGTTATAAAAGAGAGAAAAAAAAGAAGAGATAATTAAAGTAAACAAACTTGTATGTATTTTATTAAGAACCAAATATCTATATTTATATGTAAGAATCAGGGATATAATGACAATAATTTCTAGAGCTGCAGGGGTTAAATTGTTATTCACTAATAAACCATAATAAACTTGTCATTTGCAACACTTCCCCTTGAATAACACATTACAAAATACTTGCCTTGTTAAAACCTGTTTGATAAAAATCTAATAGGAAAAAATCAAACGAAGGAAAAAGAATACAGTTATTTTGGAGTATTAAAAATAAATGCTGTATCATTAAAACCTTCTTAGGAAAACCTTGTAAGATAAAACCTATGCGAAGGAAAAATAGTACAGTTATTTCTCCTGATATTGATTATTGAAAATCTTTGATGCTGCTAACATCGCTACTCACGTAGCATCATTTGAACCAATGACGAACTAGAGTTGTTGGTTCTGATTTGTGACCAGTTTGATGGTTGGTGGTGGTGGTTATATAGTCCATGCCGTTGCAGAGTAAGAAGGCTACAATCAATGTAGGTGGTGCCGGCTAACCTTATCTAATTTGTGGCTATTATGTTGGTGGTTAAGGTGGTATTTTTGAACTGTGGGTGGTTTGTTGGTGGTCGAGGTAGTTATACATCATATATTTAACATTTGAATTTTGAAATAATTTAACAAGTTTGTTAGTTTTGATATGTGATTCTTAAATGTAAAAGTTATGTATTGTTCTATTTCCATAATGAAAAAGTATTATTGGACTTTATTTATAAATGAAATAAACCTAATTTATCAATTTACAAAAAAAAAAAAAAAAAAAAAAATTGACGTAGCGGAAGGCTATAGAGAAGATGAACAAATTTCACAAAAATAAAAAGAACTCACGTTTATTTCTGTCAATTAATATGGCCACAAAAGGGTTTACAGGGCCTTATATAGGAAAAACCCTAGCAAAATTTTGAAAAATTAAAAATTAAAAAAGTTTTTTTTTTGGTAAAAAAAAAAAGGAAAAATTTGAGAAAATGACTAAAATTGAAACTCCTAATTTTAAGAGTTATCCTTCAACTAACGAAATTCAAATCGGATTTAAATTGAAAGAGATATAACTAAAACAAAATTTACCAAAAATGGGAAAAACACGTAAACAAAGATCTAAACAAATGAATTTGCTCAAAATTGGGCCTAGGTTAGAAGCAAAGCTTTTATATCTTGTTCATTAGCCCGTTTTCAATCAAATTTGACTAAATTTCGTCAAAAATGGACAACTTCAAAATATCTCCAAAAATCGAGAAGTTGCCTATTTTTGCCCATGCCAGTCCCATTGTTCGAAAAAGTTTAATTTCTTCTGCACCACGTCGACCTAATTTATCAAGAAAAAAAACAACGAATGAATGGGGCTAAAACTTGCCCCGCTGTTTGATCTTCTCTTTAAGAAAAGAGCAAAATACAAGATTGTCAAAGCATACAAGCCTGCACTTTCGTTGTGGTTTTATAAATCTATTATATTTAATCTTTGTGGAGGGAATTTTTAAAAGTTCAAACATTGGTGTTTTGTCGTTTACGTCAAGATCGCCACAAAACAACGCGTAGTGCAAAGTATCCATCCCCATCTCCAACTGATTTTCTAATTAATTTACAATATTTTGTATGTTACTTTAAAAGAGAAGAAATCATTGATGGAATTACGTAACATTCCCGATCCATTGAGCTATCGTGGTAGAAAATTGTCGACGTGTAACATCAATAATGTCATTTATTTCATACTTGTTAGAATTAGGTTGTGAGTGAAATTCTAATGAGTATTTTGATTGAAAATAATGTTGGAGTAGCATTGGAAGTTAGTAGTAGACTTGAAAGAGTTCAAGAAGGATAAGAAGAATGATTTCCCCTTTTGGCAATTTTGTTACTTCTACTTCATTCCAAATATTCATTATTCGTTTTACCTATTGTATTGAGACTTGACCTTATATTAAACTCTTCATTTATTAATTTTCCTACTATGTTAGGGATTCTTTTGTTATAAATATGTAGTATACAACATAGATTGGAATTGATCAATTGTTCAATTAGTTATTGGTCCAAAGAGATTCTTTATAACTCCTTAATATTGATTATAGTGAATTCTCCGTTTCTGTCCATGTTTTTTCTAGATGTAGGTTTTCACATGCATCTTGTTTTCTTTTAATCCATCATTTTCATATTGCTCATGTTTTCTCATTCTTCAATTACTTGGTTGGAATCTAAACAAATTAGTATCAAAATTGTTTCGCTTTCAACAAAGTGGTTTTTGATTTGGTCTGATTCTTTAACAAATGATATCAGAACTATTCCACTTTCAACAAAATGGTTTTAGATCTATTCCAGATTATAACAATATTGTTATTACATCTTTGCTTTTAATAATTACTCGCTGCTATAATTGTGCGTCATATAACATCACTTACATAAATATTTCATGAACCTCAAGATAACTATTCTGTGATAACAATTTATGTAGTGCAAATCGATGAAACAAAATAATAAATTAAAGATTTGAGAATGTACGAAATTGTGGGGATCAACCTAATTGCAATCAACAATAATTTTAACTTCTATGGAAAACAAGAAATCTTATAATTTGCAAAGGGTTTGTCTTCGGGCAGAGGCTCAAGACAGACAAAAGCGGGCGAGGCCGATGCGAATTTTTTTTTTTTTTTTTTATGTAGGTCGGACCTATCGACTTGCTCTCTAGAGTTACAAGCCCCTGCATGAATAATGCCCTGTATTCGGGGCATTATTCATTTGGAAATGGCTTGTCTTCATGTATAAGGTAGAAGCTCATAGGCCTCTGCCAAGACAGACACAAGGGACGAGGACGATGAGTTTTTTTTAAATGCAAGTCGGACCCACCGACCAGTTGACATCGGGTAGGATAGTGATTATCTTATTGGCTTATTGTAACAGATGATTCAATAAAATATTAAGTAAAAGAAGTAAGTTGCCAAAAATTGGCTCAATTCGAGTTTTCTAATATATGGAAAATGGGAAACAAAATATT